TCCACTTGCTAATTGATTTCCTCACATGACGGAATTTGGTTATTAAGTACATATCTAGGGTACTATACCCAACAAAAGAATTACAGGCATTGGAGAAGGTTTCAGTGAAATCATCAATGCATAGCCATGAATTTAAAAATCAAAAGGGTGGACGGCCAAAGTCTTGATCCGAGGGTTTTAAGACTAAAGGGCAATGGTCTAAATATTCTCGAGGTAGTACAGTAACCGAGGACAGGGGCTGGTGTGTAATGAAATTAGAACAAACCAGAAAATGATCTAGTTTGCTGAGTTTAAGACTGTCATCACATAGATAAGTGTATCTCTTGCCACCAAGGTTGAATTCGTGTAAATCGGATCTAGCTATAAAGTCATTGAAGTCTTTGCAATTGGCAGAATTAGGACAAAATGAAGAGTTGAAGCGTTCATCTGCATTTTTCACTGCGTTAAAATCGCCAAGAAAGATCCAAATCCCAATTATGCTGCTTTTTAGATGTAATAATTCATCCCACAATTTTCTTTTTTCTTGTGACTTCTTGGGGACCGTATACATTTAAAATGGTTGTGATGCCGGGAACACTAGTCCAAGTACTTGGTATCGCTAGATAATGCCATGAGGAAAAGCTTTGAGACATAGAGAAGACGAGAGGATCCCATATGCTAATGATGCCACCTGATCTTCGATCTTCCAGTTGGATTTACAAATTCGACATGAAAATTATGATCACCCCAAGCTCCGAAAAAATCGATATTCTTTGAGTCCGTAACTCTGGTTTCCTAAAGGCCAATAAAATCGATATTATGAGAGTTTCTTAATCTACGAATCCAGGTATTCTCAACACCCCCTGATATTGAGACTTATGCAGTTCATTACGGAGCAGATTTAACACCTTCACCCTCATTGACAACCTCCCTGACAATAGGGTTGTCACCTTAAATCTGGAATCCCACATCTTTGCCCACTTTAATGATACTCGAGAATTCATTAGATGAGGAATCTTCGGAGGTGGAGGAGGACGTGCTATTGGAATTAGGAATCGACGCCGATCGATTAAGATCAAGACCAATGATTGGGGCCGAGGGCACCTGTTGAAATGTGAGCTTTCAACGTGAGTTGATTGATAGACCTAATGATTCTTCTTCTTTGTCTACTGAACTCCCCTCTCGAACATCGGGGGATCAAATTCAGCTTGGGTCAGGTTAGGTGATTTGGGCGAATCAAGCCATCTATCTCGGTTTGGTAACGGGCATGAGTTGGGCTCCATAAGTCGTCGCCATAGGTCTGGCGGGAACGGCGAAAATGTTGGCGGTAATCTGAAAATCTATACCAACGACATGTCGTCGGTATAGGTATAAAAAAAAATATTTTCCATTTATTTTTATTCCATGTGCCAGAAAAACTGAACGACGTAGTTTTGGGAAATGGTATCCCGACGACAAGTCGTCGGCACAGGGTTTTTAATTTATATATATAATATATATATATATATATATATATAATATATATATATATATATATATATATATATATATATATATATATATTTATTTCAGGAATAAATGATACGTCGTCGTTTATGTCGACCCTATACCGACGACATGTCGTCGGCATAGGGGTATACCCTAAAAGAGATACGCAGACTTCTTTCATTTGCACACAGCGACTCCTTCCTTTATCCTTTCCTGCTGAGGCGACGAAATCGGCTACCCAACGAAAATATACGGCGATTAACCCAATCCAAGGTTGTTTCTACCCCTAATTTGTTTTTTATTGTTGTTTGGTATTGATTTTTACCCCTAATTTGGGGTTTTTTGGTGTGTAGGAACCGGTGGTGAAGCTCCACCGCTTAGTGACTGCCTCAACCTTCCACCGCGAGTTTATTGCCGGCGACCTCCTTTCTGCCACCACTGGAGTTGTTCACTGGTATGTATTGAAACCTTGTGCATTTTTTTTCTGATTTGATGTTGCCGCCTGTGGTATGTCATTGGCTCCTGTTAAAAACCTATACCGACAACTAGTCATAGTAATAGATTAAACCTGTGGTGACGACAAGTCGTCACTATAGGTGTGCCGACGACTAGTCGTCGCTATAGGTAATTAATAAAACTTTATTTTTTAACCCCGAAAATATGATTGACAAACTCTATCCCGACGACAAGTCGTCGCTATAGGTGAAGCTATCGCGACGACATCTATACCGACGACACTATTGACCTATGCCGACACGACTACACCGACGACTCTATACCGACGACAAGTCGTCGGTATACGGTATACCGACGACAAGTCGTCAGTATAGGGTCCAAAATTCTCGTCACCATAGGGTTTTAATGTTGTAGTGTTGGCAGAATTAGGACAAAATGAAGAGTTGAAGCATTCATCTGCATTTTTCACTGCGTTAAAATCGCCAAGAAAGATCCAAATCCCGATTATGCTGCTTTTTAAATGTAATAATTCATCCCACAATTTTCTTTTTTCTTGTGACTTCTTGGGGACCGTATACATTTAAAATGGTTGTGATGCCGGGAACACTAGTCCAAGTACTTGGTATCGCTAGATAATGCCATGAGGAAAAGCTTTGAGACATAGAGAAGACGAGAGGATCCCATATGCTAATAATGCCACCTGATCTTCGATCTTCCAGTTGGATTTACAAATTCGACATCAAAATTATGATCACCCCAAGCTCCGAAAAAATCGATATTCTTTGAGTCCGTAACTCTGGTTTCCTAAAGGCCAATAAAATCGATATTATGAGAGTTTCTTAATCTACGAATCCAGGTATTCTCAACACCCCCTGATATTGAGACTTATGCAGTTCATTGCGGAGCAGATTTAACACCTTCACCCTCATTGACAACCTCCCTGACAATAGGGTTGTCACCTTAAATCTGGAATCCCACATCTTTTCCCACTTTAATGATACTCGAGAATTCATTAGATGAGGAATCTTCAGAGGTGGAGGAGGACGTGCTATTGGAATTAGGAATCGACGTCGATCGATTAAGATCAAGACCAATGATTGGGGCCGAGGGCACCTGTTGAAATGTGAGCTTTCAACGTGAGTTGATTGATAGACCTAATGATTCTTCTTCTTTTGTCTACTGAACTCCCCTCTCGAACATCGGGGGATCAAATTCAGCTTGGGTCAGGTTAGGTGATTTGGGCGAATCAAGCCATCTATCTCGGTTTGGTAACGGGCATGAGTTGGGCTCCATAAGTCGTCGCCATAGGTCTGGCGGGAACGGCGAAAATGTTGGCGGTAATCTGAAAATCTATACCAACGACATGTCGTCGGTATAGGTATAAAAAAAATATTTTCCATTTATTTTTATTCCATGTGCCAGAAAAACTGAACGCCGTAGTTTTGGGAAATGGTATCCCGACGACAAGTCGTCGGCACAGGGTTTTTAATTTATATATATATATATATATATATATATATTTATTTCAGGAATAAATGATACGTCGTCGTTTATGTCGACCCTATACCGACGACATGTCGTCGGCATAGGGGTATACCCTAAAAGAGATACGCAGACTTCTTTCATTTGCACACAGCGACTCCTTCCTTTATCCTTTCCTGCTGAGGCGACGAAATCAGCTACCCAACGAAAATATACGGCGATTAACCCAATCCAAGGTTGTTTCTACCCCTAATTTGTTTTTTATTGTTGTTTGGTATTGATTTTTACCCCTAATTTGGGGTTTTTTGGTGTGTAGGAACCGGTGGTGAAGCTCCACCGCTTAGTGACTGCCTCAACCTTCCACCGCGAGTTTATTGTCGGCGACCTCCTTTCTGCCACCACTGGAGTTGTTCACTGGTATGTATTGAAACCTTGTGCATTTTTTTTCTGATTTGATGTTGCCGCCTGTGGTATGTCATTGGCTCCTGTTAAAAACCTATACCGACAACTAGTCATAGTAATAGATTAAACCTGTGGTGACGACAAGTCGTCACTATAGGTGTGCCGACGACTAGTCGTCGCTATAGGTAATTAATAAAACTTTATTTTTTAACCCCGAAAATATGATTGACAAACTCTATCCCGACGACAAGTCGTCGCTATAGGTGAAGCTATCGCGACGACATCTATACCGACGACACTATTGACCTATGCCGACACGACTACACCGACGACTCTATACCGACGACAAGTCGTCGGTATACGGTATACCGACGACAAGTCGTCAGTATAGGGTCCAAAATTCTCGTCACCATAGGGTTTTAATGTTGTAGTGTTGGCAGAATTAGGACAAAATGAAGAGTTGAAGCATTCATCTGCATTTTTCACTGCGTTAAAATCGCCAAGAAAGATCCAAATCCCGATTATGCTGCTTTTTAAATGTAATAATTCATCCCACAATTTTCTTTTTTCTTGTGACTTCTTGGGGACCGTATACATTTAAAATGGTTGTGATGCCGGGAACACTAGTCCAAGTACTTGGTATCGCTAGATAATGCCATGAGGAAAAGCTTTGAGACATAGAGAAGACGAGAGGATCCCATATGCTAATAATGCCACCTGATCTTCGATCTTCCAGTTGGATTTACAAATTCGACATCAAAATTATGATCACCCCAAGCTCCGAAAAAATCGATATTCTTTGAGTCCGTAACTCTGGTTTCCTAAAGGCCAATAAAATCGATATTATGAGAGTTTCTTAATCTACGAATCCAGGTATTCTCAACACCCCCTGATATTGAGACTTATGCAGTTCATTGCGGAGCAGATTTAACACCTTCACCCTCATTGACAACCTCCCTGACAATAGGGTTGTCACCTTAAATCTGGAATCCCACATCTTTGCCCACTTTAATGATACTCGAGAATTCATTAGATGAGGAATCTTCAGAGGTGGAGGAGGACGTGCTATTGGAATTAGGAATCGACGCCGATCGATTAAGATCAAGACCAATGATTGGGGCCGAGGGCACCTGTTGAAATGTGAGCTTTCAACGTGAGTTGATTGATAGACCTAATGATTCTTCTTCTTTTGTCTACTGAACTCCCCTCTCGAACATCGGGGGATCAAATTCAGCTTGGGTCAGGTTAGGTGATTCGGGCTTATCAAGCCATCTATCTCGGTCTGGTAATGGGCATGAGTTGGGCTCCATAAGTTGGGTTGGGTCCACACCACTCTCTCTCATTGGAGTTTCCACTCTGTTCGAATTCAACTCGAAAATGTTGACGACATTGAATTGGAGAGACGGTCCATCTACTGCCTTTAAATCATCGATCTTGGATTCCGAAATCTTCCCCGGCGATGATGCTGGCGGCTGAAGTTCCATCATGTTCACAGTTGATTCTTCAACAATTTCACCTTCCTCCAAAACTTCCTGGGTCTTTTGTGGAACTTCCCAAGTTGCCGATATACCGGTATCCTCAGGGTTAGACTCATCATCATCTAAGAAACATGTCGAGTCATCTTCATCTTCGTCGATATCTTCTAGATCGGAAGGTGTGTTTCTTGTGCAGACCTCCGAAACACTATCAAACGGAGTCCAGTCTTTGTCAAATTCCACCACACCGAACCAATTATTCCCATGTGTAATTTCTATTTTATCAATGATGGCCGTCATCGAGGCAGTGATGATACAAACCTGACCTGTGGAAATATCAAAAACATTCCAATCACCACTGAACGTTTCTAGAGGTTTGCCAAATGCACTGGCGATGCGAGCATAATTTGCTTCTGATCGGAATCTGACGGGAACACCAAAGATTCTGACCCATGTAATCCTTTCTACTGATGATTCATCATTAAAACCACACTTTAACCAATTGAACCATCTGTTCCAATTAGAATCGTTTGCATAGAAAGCCTCCGCGTATTTCGACGTGATGAATTTTTTCAAGACGTTCAAACCCCCCGTGTAATAGACCATCCCACTTTGATTACCTTCAAGTTCAAAAATATTGGGTAAATCTTTAATGTGTTGCACACTGATACATTCACCGACTAAAACGCAATCCTCCCAGTTTGCAGTCTTTGCAGCAGGATTTAAGGCAATGGAGAGAGGAGGGGTTGAGGGTTTTTGTGTGTTTGCTCGCCCCATAACTGCTGCATCAACAAATGACCTGTCATCTCTTTTTACCCGTACAGATGGATGCATGCTAGTAGAAGGTGGGACTTGCTTTTTCAACTGGAAATTGGAATCTGATGTGTGAGATCATTTTTGGTACCTGGCAATATTGACTTTGAGAATACAATGGTCACATCTGACTCTATTCATGTCTTGCTCCAGGGATTTCGCATCCCGGACCCCATTGAATCTAACAAAAGTTAATAAGGATCCTGACCTATCTCTCTTTCTTCCAATATAGATATCTACCACCTTTCCAAACACCTTGAAAATCTCCCTTATCTTGATCTTGTTGACCCCATCTGGTAGGTTGGATACGTAACGGTTGAGTTCATCCCCTTCGAGTGATCTGTGATGCCCATGTTCCGACGAATTTCCGTCCATTCCAGTTGGCGACCATCCAACTTCGTGGGGAGCATGCTTTTGTAATACCTTAAAAGTACAAAATAAATAAATAAAATAAAATAAAATACCATTTAGGACATTCTACCTTGAAAAATCGTACAAAATAAATAAATAAAATAAAATAAAATATCATTTAGGACATTCTACCTTGAAAAATCTACGCCTTGGTTGTCGTGGTTGTCTTGGATCTACAAGATATGGCTTAATCACCTCACACACGACTACTTAACTTCCCAAAAAGACACACGACTACAAGGTATTGACTTTAGGATTAATATATATTGTTGGGAGTCCAAGAGAAAGGAAAAAAAAAATTGATTTGCTAAGCCTTTGTAAAATAATAAAAAAGCGTTTGTAAAATCAAAAGTGAAATTGATGAATTCTTGGTTGTCTGGAAAATATAGCATGATGTATGTGATGCTAGAATTTGATTGTGCAAGATTTGAAAGTAAATGCATTTTTTATGGAATAGGATTTGTATTAGATCACTTATTTGATATTTTTTATACAAATTTACATTTTATTATTATTATTATTATTATTATTATTATTATTATTATTATTATAAAGCTTGGATTATATAATATTTCTACCACGAGAGTATGTAACATTTGGATTTATGTTTGATGCATTTTTGCATACCAAGTTAACAACGAGTTGTATAATGAAAGAGACTACTCGATGATTATGGTTTAAAAGTTTCTATGAGATTGAGAAAACATCCGAAATTCCGGATTTTAAATATTAATTATGGTAAACAAATTAGTTTCATGAAAAGAAAGATAATAGGAACCTTATAAAATCATAAAATAATATGGATTGCTACTATGTTATAATTACCGACACTAAAGTAAATTTAATACATTTCATGGAAATTTATATAAAAAGAATGTGATTTAAGAAGAGTTTATATTGCAAACTTTAATTTAAATATAAAAATAATCATTTTAAATAATTTATTCACATGGCCCAATGAATAAAGGAAAATTTAAAATTTAAATAAACATCACCAAATTTTAAATTTTAACTAATGTTTATTAATCTATATGCAATAATAACTAACTAGTAGAAATCCCTCGCGCCATTGGTGCGGGTTTGATACAAATTTGAAAATTTAGGATACTTCTTAGCTGGAAAAGCAGGGAGTCAAGCAAGAAAGAAAAAATGATAGATTAATAAGCTAACTTACTGCTAAGAGAGATATTCACATTCATTCGTATGTACGCATCACTTAAAAAAAAAAAAAAAAAAAGAAAAAAAAGAAAGACATTAACAATGCTTATAGGTCTTGGCACCTTTTTTGTTGGAAAGATAACCTACTTCACGTAGATAGATGTCAACCACCACTTTATTCATTTTCTTCATGATCCTACAAGAATCAAAACCATTAAACATCATTCAAAACTTAAAACTCAAAGTTCTTTCCAAACGGTTGGTTAAAATCTACCAGCAAAGGCATTTATAGGCACCTTCTTGATAGACAGTCATCCAAGCCCGTCCCCAGAGGGTGATAAGGGCGACCGTCCAGGACTTATCCCAATTTTTTTTTATGAAAATTGTTATATTTAGAAGATAGTACAAGTAATTTATTTTTTTTATAAAAATTGTTATATTTAGAAGATAGTACAAGTAATTTATTTTTCAATTATTGAGTTAATATAAAAAAACTTGATGGCATTATGGTAATTAGTCATTACACAACAAATTTTCTTTTCTTTAACTACTATTTGGCTCTATTTATACATTTAAATCCAGGAAAACCTTCCCAATATCCTTTTGGTTGGACCAATGGTCATTACCCAAAAACTTAAGATCTTAAAAGAGAAGAAATTATGAAGGTGAACCTTTTGTATTTAAGAATGTATCAGTATCTACATGGTCACCACCATTTGAAACCTCTTCTATGACTACATACCACTTGAAACCTCTTCTAAGCGAGACATTGTTGGCGTTGCTTCTGGCGAGTTTGATGGGAGTGGTATATTAAATGTATATTAAATGATATCCATAGTTATAATTCTCTTTTTATGGAAACTAATTAAATCCGTCATTAATGTCAGCAATAACATTTTTTCAGAATGAATTCGCATATAGGCTTTTATATATGAGTTCGTATTTTCTTTCAGGACTCACTCACTTAAAATACAATAAAGTTGCATGGAATATGAAGAACGAGAGTGTATTATATTATAATACACTCTCATTCTGCTGGAATACACTCTCATTCTTCTAGATATGAATTCATTCTTAAAGAATATTATTGTTGACATTAACAACGAATTTAATTAGTTTCCATAAAAATGAGTTATAAGTATGGATAACATTTAATATACATATAATTAATACTAAATTCTTATTGGTACATTCTACAATACAATAGATGTGAGAAACATTTGAACCTCTCTCTCTCTCTCTCTCTCTCTCTCTCTCTCTATATATATATATATATATATATATATATATATATATATATATATATATATGTATATATATATATATATGTTGATGTATTGTAACATGTTGGTATTTAGAATGTTCATTCCTTTTAATTGGAGGGTAGTAAGAAATCTTCGTTTTTTGTTGGTTTCCGGTGTGAATGAAGATGAAAGTGTTTTTTTTGGTTAATGTTTGCACTGTAGATAGTTTTTTGTAGCTTTTGTTTTTAATGTGATAATGGTGTTTTATAATTAGATATTATGGTGCATTGTTGTAGAACAAAGAAAGAAAAAACAATAGATAATAACTATATAATCAATGTTATGCAGCCCAAAAATTATTGGGTTTGTTATTATAGGTTGATTTGATCCGGAGATTACCGTATGGACCCTAATTTGAAGAAAGCTTAAGAAGGTTCATCGTCTCTCTCTTTCTCTCTCTCTCTCTCTCTCTCTCTCTCTCTCTCTCTCTCTCTCTCTCTCTCTCTCTCCACTGTGAAAAAAAACTCAAGAAACTGATAAAATCGGTTACATCTGTGTTCATTTTTTTGCTTTTTTAACTGTTACAGATCTATAAAACTCACTTCTTTTTTTGGTAGTTAGTAACTTAATATCATGAAATACTTCTAGCTAAATGATGAATACTTAAGGACTCTCTAGATCTTGAATGAGAAGGTGTAGTTTGTCCAAGTAGATTCCATGGTTAAAAATTCAAATACTTTAAAAGGTGTTCAACCTGATTTAAAAAGATTGAGACAGAAAGCAACTTCAAAGTTTTTTTACATATTCATCTATTTTCTTTATATTCTACACCTAAGACAGAAAGCAATTTTGAAGAAGTATATCAAGTTTGTTTTTTTTTTTTTTTTTTTGTTCTCTATTCCCTCTCTATCCCGTAGAGAAACCTCAGTTTGGATTTTTTTGTTGTCTGAAATTTGTGTTTTTGTGTGATTGTTGTGGCTTTGTCAAGGTTTTTTTTTTTGTTTACTGAAATTTGTGTTCTTGTGTGACCAGCTTATCCATTTTGTGTTAAAAAGGGTCATGGTTTGGTTTTGACACTACTGTTCACCGGCTACCACTGACGCCGGACCAGGGGCGGAGCTACTATGTAGCCCGGGGAAGCCCAGGATACCCCTCCAATTTTCCCGTCAAATGTAAATTTCGTGTTTTTTTTTCAAAAATCCGTCACAAATCCGTTAGAAATCCGTCAGCAATCCATCACAAAGTCTGATAATTTTAAAATTAGTGTAAATTCACCGGTTTAGTAACGATTTTGTAATGGAAACTTCCTTTGGAAACAAATTTTTTACTAGTAGTTCAACCCCTAAAAAATTTATGCAACCCCTAATTTTTCTTTCTGGATCTGCCACTGCGCCGGACTACAACCAACCACCACATCACCATAACTACATGTGTACTATAGCACCACATAACAAAAAAACGCACAACCATGGCACCAGCTACGTCAATTTCATTTGTGGAGGAGGTCTTTAATTTTATTTGTTGCTTTTTGGAAATTAGACTCTTTAGTTGGTGTAGACATGTGTAGGTGTGAGTGGATTTGAGACTGAGATGAGCTTATTGGCTCATAAAAACAATAATGTTCATGATAGTAATTATGTAAATTAATCCGATTTTTTAGTAAGATATATGTTTATGTTATTATAAAAGAATTTCATACCTAATAAGGATAATGTATTTTTAATTAATATAATTTATAATCTTTATGAGTAATTATAATATTTACGAAACAAATACTTTTGTGGAAAAAAGTACAATAAATTTTTTTATGTTTAACAATTTTGAATGTATTCCACTAAAACATATCAAAAAAAATTATTTTTACCAAAAAAACAACATAATTATATTTTTAATCAAAATAATATCGTAGTTTTATTTTTCACACAAAATTGCAAGCTTTTATCATTTATAAGAAAATAGTATACTTTTATTTTTAATCTAGACATTCAACACAAATTTATTTTTAACACAAAATAATCGGACAAAAGGAAGTATCTGAAACCGCATCTATGTACTTGATTAGAAACTATTCGCCAAAATGAACTATCTGACAAAAAACAATCCGCCAAAAGGCGAAATAAATTATCTGATATTAAAATCAAAACTAATCGCCACATGAAAACAATATGCCGAAAGAAATTATCTGGCGCCACTGCATCGCGCGCGTTTCTACTAGTATATATATATATATATATATATATATATATATATATATATATATATATATATATATCACAAAAATGGTACTTGCGGTATGTTACTTTTTATCGGGTTTAGTCCAAAACTGAAATATTTTTGCAATTTCGGTCTATATTACAACGTTGATTAGCAATTTTGGTCCCTGTGTTGTTAACTTTAACATCTTTTTTTTTTTTTTTTGATAAAGTTGTAAAATTAACCATTTACCTTTTCTCTTTTGTACGGAAACTGTTGAAAAAACAAACACAAAAAAGAGGAAAATGATTATTTTTTTCATATTAACCAGAAGTTTTGTTAAAATCAACAACACAAGGACCAAAATTG